TATCACTGAATGGCCTAGGCCTACAAATATTGCGGAAGTCAGGAGTTTTCTCGATTTGGCAGGTTATTATAGAAGGTTTGTGAAGGATTTCTCGAAGACAGCTCAGCCAATGACAAGGTTAATACGTAAAACAACGAAGTTTCACTGGGATGAATTTTGTGAGGTCTCTTTTCAAGAACTCAAGAAGCATCTTACTTCAGCTCCGATTTTAACATTGCCATCAGGAACGAGTGGGTTTGAGATCTTTAGTGATGCTTCCAAAAATGGACTTGGTTGTGTTCTGATGCAACACGGAAAGGTGATATCGTATGCCTCAAGGCAGTTGAAGTCGCATGAAGAAAATTATCCCACCCATGATTTGGAGTTGGCTGCTGTGGTTTTTGCTCTAAAAATATGGAGGCATTATTTATATGGCTCCACTTGTAAAGTTTACACGGATCACAAGAGCTTGAAGTATATCTTCACCCAGAAGGAGCTTAACATGAGGCAAATGAGGTGGTTAGAACTCATTAAGGATTATGATCTCGAGATCCAATACCACGAAGGCAAAGCCAATGTAGTGGCCGATGCACTTAGTAAATAATCGAGACATACCCTTAATGCTTTTGTAGTACCCAATGAATTATATGAAGAGTTCAGGAGGTTGGAGATTGAAATATTTCTACCCACGGATCTAAAAGTTATGCTTAATGCTCTCACCATTCAACCAACTATCTTTGATGAGATCCGTGAAGCGCAAGCATCCGATTCTTTGTTGCAAGGAATTAAGGAGAAGAAAAGTCAAGGAGAAGCTGTAGACTTTGAAATTGAGGAAGGTGGCACAATGAGGTTCAAGGGTAGATTATGCGTGCCAGACAATGAAAGCATAAAGAGAAAGATTTTAGAAGAAGCACACAATACGCCCTACTCAGTTCATCCAGGAGGAGTAAAAATGTACAAAGATCTAAAGAAGAGTTTTTGGTGGCCTGGGATGAAGAGAGAAATAGCTGAATTTGTAGCAAGGTGTCTTACTTGTCAAAAGGTGAAAATTGAGCACAAACGACCTGCAGGAGTGTTGCAACCATTGGAAGTTCCGAGGGAGAAATGGGAGTCAATTTCTATGGATTTTGTCACGGGTTTACCTCTGACTAGAGGAGACAAGAATGCTATCTGGGTCATAGTTGACAGGTTGTCTAAGACTGCAAGGTTCATTGCGATGAAAAACACATGGGGTTTGAACCAGTTGCCGATGCTTATGTGCGAGATATAGTGAGGTTGCATGGAGTCCCAAAGGACATAATCTCAGATAGAGATACAAGGTTTTTATCAAACTTCTGGATTAAGGTTCAGCAAACTTTTGGAACCCAACTCAAATATAGCACAACCTTTCATCCTGCTACAGATGGACAGACGGAGAGGACGATTCAAACTCTTGAAGACATGTTAAGAGCCTGCGCTTTGGAATTCAATCAATCTTGGGATAAGTGTTTACCTTTGGTCGAATTCTCTTACAACAATAGCTACCATGCGAGCATCGATATGGCACCCTACGAAGCATTGTACGGTAGGAGGTGCAGAAGCCCATTATGTTGGAATGATTTTCGAGAAGATGGCATTGTGGGTCCAGATATGATTCAAGAATCGAGGGAACAAGTTAAAGTGATTCAAGAAAAGATGAAAACAGCTCAGGATCGACAAAAGTCTTATGCAGATCAACGGCGACGACTAGTAGAATTCGAGACTGGAGAAAAAGTATTCTTAAGAGTATCACCGATGAAGGGGGTGATGAGATTTGGAAAGAAAGGCAAGTTGAGTCCAAAGTATATTGGCCCATATGAGATCATTGAGCGAATTGGTGAAGTGTCATACAGACTAGCTCTTCCAAAGGAATTGGAGAATGTACACGATGTTTTCCACGTATCTCAACTCGGAAATTATATATCAGATCCTTTGTACAAGCTTCAGCCTGAGTCTATCAAGATAGATCAGAATCTCACATATGAAGAACGTCCTGTAGGAATTCTTGATAGAAGTGAAAGAATTTTGAGAAATAAGTCAATCAAACGAGTTAAAGTTTTGTGGAGGAGTCAAAAGGTAGAAGAAGCAACATGGGAGGTAGAAGACGATATGCGCAATAAATACCCGTTTTTATTTGAAGAGGGTACACAATTAAGTTTCGGGGACGAAACTTTTCTTTTAGGGAGAGGTAAGAGTTAGCAACACATTAGTTACCAATTCATTGGCATAAAAATGTTCAAAATCGTCGTATATTATCCTATAATTCATATTTTTGTCTACTTGCTAATTTGTTTACGTGCTACAATTTTAAGATTCTAGTACCTTATGCCTTTTAGTTATTTGAGAAGCTCAAACTTTTAAGTTTCGAGGACGAAACTTCTTTTAAGGAGGGTAGAATGTAATATCCCAGAAAAATAATAGTAATTTATAATACAATAAATTAATAATAGTAATAAATTATAAATTAGTAATAATAATAATGGGTGATAAATTGTTATTATTTGATTGATCATTATGCTTTAATGTTTGATTATTTGATTGGTAATGTTTGATTGGATTAGGATGAGTCAACAAACATAAATTGTTTAGATATGATGACTCAACAAACATAAATTGTTTAGATATGATGAGTCAGCATTGAGTCAGTAATATATAAGCCCTAAACTTCAACTATAAATAGAGACCTAGCCTAACCAAACCAATTCACTCTCCTCTACTACTCTCTTTCTCTTCTCACTCCAAAAAGTTTATTTTAATTATTTTCAATCTTTATATTTTTTTATCAACCGGTTCTCTGCCCCAAATTACTCTTTTTTTTCTAAAAGTTAGCGAAAACGGAGACCAGGTAATCCTAATCCCTAGGTATTTTTAGATTATATTTATTTTATGTGAAATTTGGTATGTGTAATCCTAATCCTTAAAAGTCTTAGGTTAATTTTATATGAATTTTGATAGGATAATTATGATCCTAAATATATATCATAGTTACACTTCGTTGCAAATTTCTTTTGATTTCTGTGCAATTCTTTAATTGAATTCGAATTATACTTATCGTTGCTTTTATACATGATATAGTTCACAAAACAAAAACAAACAAAAAAATCTCCTTTCTCGATTTTTGTGCGTCACTTTCAATTGAATTAGATGTATGTTCACCATCTACCATCCGAATCGTTTCTTTCAAGTTACATATATTGCAATTCTACTTTTCGATTTACGTGATGAACATATTTCAAATACATTAGTTATATGAATTTAGTTTCAATTGTTTTTTTTATATTCTGTGCTTTACTTTATAAATTGAGGCACTAATATATATATATATATGTTTTGGTAAATTGGGAATTAATTGTTTGCTGCAGAAAATAGATATTACATATATTTGAAATAAATTGGGAAATTTTGTTATGTCTGTATAAAATAATAATAATAATAATAATAATAATAATAGTGGGAGGATAGCTTTGGGATGGTACCTCCCAAAGTGATGAACACAATTTTTGGGCTTTATGCCTCCGATGTGAAACTGATGTGAAAAAGATTATATCCGTTCTTCCCAAAGTGGTGTCTGGCAGGGTTTCCCAGGATACTAGAGCAACTTTGGGAAGAGGTGTGCACACTAGGAAGATGTGAATTGATTATGGCCAAAGTGATTTGTTTGTGACTGGCAGGGTTTCCCGGGTCACAGGGTAGACTGGCAGGGTTCCCCGGGTCTACCATGGTTCTCTTCCCACTAATAGACTAAATGGATTAAATAAATATTAATATAATTAATAACAAGTTGACATTTGATTCGAATTTTTGAGTTATATTATTTTATTGGATTATCATGAGTTACATTCTTTTTGTTTATTTATTTATTTATTTATTTTTGTATATCGGATTTGGATTAACAGCTTTGCTGACTTTTGTGTTTGTTTAACTGCAATGATCCTTCACGGGGAGCAGATTTTCAGTGAAGCATGTTGCAAAGGATGGGGCTAGCTGTGGGCAGCGAGGATCACGACTCGGATATTATATTTCTAGCTAGTTTCTAAGTTTAGAAATTTTATGAGATTTAAATAAATGCATAAGACATATTTCCTTTATTTAAACTTTAGTCTTTGGTTTTATTTTTAATGTAATAAATTTAGCCTTGCACCTGTCCATAGTACAAGTGCGGCGGTAACACTTTCCAAATTTGATTATTTTGAACTTCCGCTGTTATTTACAAAAATTATTGAAATTATTTATGCTATTATCAATTGTTAGAATTTGGGGTGTTACAGTAAGCCTCTCTGAGGATTGAGCTTCCTTCCATATTTCCCAAGCATAACCTGGACGCACAAGCTATTCTGCTCATTCATTACCTTCCAGGCTAACTTCTGCATGTATGCTTCATTTTGTCTTCTCAAGCTAATGATGCCTAGTCCTCCACAAACTCTGGGTAAGCACATTTGATCCCAGGAGACATAGTGAGCTTTTCTATGGGTATCAGTGTCCCCCCAAATGAAGTTTCTTTGAAGTCTCTCAACTTCCTGGCAAACATGAACAGGCAGCATACTGTTCTGCATGTGATAAGATGGTATAGTTGAAATTACACTCTTTGCAAGAGTGATCCTACCTGCCAAGGAAAGGCATTTTGACTTCCAACCCTGTAATCTTCCTTGCACTCTAGAGATGATATCGGCATAGTGGTCTCTTTTTATTCTGCCATGCCTCATTAAGGCCCCCAAGTAGCATCCAAGGCTGCTAACTCTTTTAAAACCACTAACTGATGTAATTAAGCTCAATGTTTCCAAAGGAACATTTTTAGAGAAGTAAATACATGACTTCTCCACATTCACACATTACCCAGACATTTTCGAGAACTTCTCCAAGCAATGAGTAATAGACTCCAACTGTGAGAGAGAAGCTTCTGCAAACAGAATAACATCATCTGCAAACATTAAGTGAGAGATAGGAGGACCAGATTTTCCAGCTCTCATTGGTACCCAATTTCTGGCCTCCACCTCATCCAAGATTAGGTGTGTAAGCTTCTCCATGAAGAGGACAAAGAGATAGGGGGATAATGGATCCCCTTGTCTAATTCCTCGCTGAGAGTAAAAACCAGGTGTCCTAGCTCCATTCCAAAGCACCTCCATGTAAGGGCTGGTCACACAACCCATTATTGCTTCAATTAAGTTTCCAGGCAGCTTCACATCTACCAAGACAGCCCTGATGAAACTCCAATTCAACTTATCATAAGCTTTTTCTAGATCTATCTTGATAGAGAATTTTTTTTTTTCATTTCATTCTATGCATAGCATGGACTAGCTCTTGGGCAATGATGATGTTGTCTTGAATGTGTCTTCTAGGAACAAAACAAACTTGATTTGGGGATATAAGAGTTCCCAGAATCGGCTTTAGCTTGTTAACTAAAATTTTGCTGAGACCCTTGTACAAGGAGTTGCATAGAGCTATTGGTCTGAATTGCTTCATTATGTTTGGTCTGTCAATCTTCAGGATCAGAACAAGGAGTGTGTGATTTACTTCCTTAATCAATTTCGGATGAAGAAGATAATTCTGCATGCTTGCATACACTTGAGCTTTAAGCAACTCCCAATTTTGTTGGTAGAACAAAGCCGGAAAGCCATCTGGTCCAGGGGCCTTTAGAGGAGCCATTTGGAAGAAAGCAGCTCTCACCTCCTCCAGGTCAATGTTCAAGGACAGCAAAGGCAGCTGTTCAACATCTATCTCTGGCCAAGAAGACTTAGTTTGTACCCAATCTGGATCCTTCACTTCCTCCTTGAAAAGATTAAGATAGAACTTTCTGGCTAAGGCAATCAGGTTCTCTTCACCATTAACCCAAAGACCAGCTTCATCCTGCAACTTTAGAACTTTGTTCCTTTTCCTTCGGATTAGAGTGCTAGTGTGGTAAAATCTAGTGTTTCTGTCCCCATCTCTTATCCAATCCCCCCTAGATTTTTGGAACCACAATTGCTCTTCCTGGTCAAGGATGTCCGAGAGCTCTTTTCTCAGCTTGGCTTCTAGCTTCTCAAGATTCCTGCTATTGTTACCACAACTATGCTTCTGAACCCCATCCAATCTAGCAATTAATTTATTCTTCTTATGCTGAATAAAACCATAGACATTTCTATTCCAATCTTTCAAGGCTGGCACAAATAAAGAAAGACTGACACACAGATTGGCATCATGCTTCCAATGAGCTTTTAAAAAATTGTTAAATCTAGGATCTTCCTGCCAAGAAGAAAAGAACCTAAAGGGCCTCTCTCTCCAGACAGTATACTCCTTTTCCATTCGGATAAGAATAAGACAATGGTCAGAAAAAAGTCTGGGGAGGGTAAGGACATCTGCATCCTCAAATGTGGCTCTCCAACTCTCATTGGCAACAACTCTGTCAAGCCTCTTGAAAACCCTATTTAGATGGAGGAACTTAGGGCCTCTCCATGTGAATCTGTTTCCACCTCCTCCCAAATCCACAACACCACAGGCATTCAAGACATTTGCAAACTGGTTACACCTATTAAAATCAACCGGGTCTCCTCCTCTGTTCTCACCGGCACAAACAATCTCATTAAAATCTCCTGATATCACCCATGCTTCATCCATGGTCCTCCCAATTAGTTTCAAGTCCTCCCAAAGAGTTCTGCGTTTCCCCTCTTGAGGATGAGCATAGACAGACGTCCAGAAAAATCCCTTCTTATCATCAATCTCAATCCAGCAGTGAATGAACTGATCCTGTTTTGAGATGAGAGTAATCTTGACATCAGAGGAATTCCACAACATCCAAATACCTCCCGAAAAACCTTGAGCTTCCACTATGATGTAATTAGAGAAACCCAATTTGTGAATAATTTTGATTGCTTTTTTTCCACTCACTCTAGGCTCTAGGATAGCAGTCATACCAACTTTATACTTTATTCGGAATCTATTGAAGGTGCTCTTGAATTGTTTCTTAGCTACACCTCTACAATTCCATGTGAACACATTCATAATAAATCTTGATTTTTTTGCAAGATCCCTAAGCTCTTGCTGCTTCCTTCATACATTTCAGACCCATGATAATGGATCACAACCTTACTGCTTTCATCATCCATCTCATCACTAGCAGACACACAGCAGTTACTCATGGCCGAATCTAAATTGGCATTAATAGTTAAATCTACTTCCATACCTGCATTAGCACCCACCACCTTTAAGGACTCTCCCATGACTCG